CACCCCAGGTCCTTCACAGCGACAGCCGCGGGCTGCCCTGCGCCAGTGCGCTGATCCGCGCCCCTGCGCCCTCAGGGAACCGCCATGGAGGGTGGGGGTAGTGCCGGGGGCACAGCAGCTCCTCTGACGTACCGGGACCGTGGCTCAGGCCCGGGGCTGAAATGAACCTTTCCCGGTGAACAGGCCCCCAGTATTTTAAGCATATTTTCTGTGAACGGACAGAATAAAGGTTCCGAGATCAATCTCACAACAGATCTAACTTCTCTCCATGCCAGTCGGGTGGTGAAGTGTTTTCATAGGCATAGGCAGTGTTTTGTAATCAGGGTTACAATTTGTTGTGTGGACCCTAAGCATTACATGGGTTTAGGATTTTCTTCATTCAAGCTTTCAATTTACATTTTAGGTCAAGCATTTAATTCTACTTCATAAACACACTTCAGCAACTCATGAACCACTCCCTCTTTGTTTTGTCTCAAGCAGCATCATTATGATTTCACCCTCAGGATCAGAGCACTGATTTGGTGAACAGTATAAAGCTCAGAAAAAGGAAAGGCCAAAAATCCCCCTGAATACTGCACTGGTGTTAAAGAACCCTAAGGAAAAGTCAAAGATTCCTCAAAACACAAATAGACAAGCAAAAAGACACAGTAAAGGTTTATGTTGCATATGTAGAGTGTCCACACCCCTCTGTTGGCAAAGAACAAAATTTGTGACATGTAATTCATTCAAGGAACAGGACAGTCCTCCTGACACAAATCAAGGGTTTGTTGTGTAGCAGAAATGGTACTGCTGACATTTTAATGTACAAACTGCATTCCTCTGGGAATTTCCACAAGAAAAGCCCTAGAGTAAGAACGCAGTAATTGTCAGAAACAGCATTTGTTCCTTGGCACAGCTAAAATAGGTTACTTCTTGTTACAGTTTTATGCAAGACATTTATAGGACTTTAAAAGATATGTCATTTTAAACATCATAGAACTTACCAGTCAGGAAATGTCACAAGATGAAACAAGTGAGGGAACTGCAAGTTTTTACACAACCTATAAGAAGTTTAAGACTTACTTCTGTTAATGTAACTCATGTTTCTATGTCCACCATACAGGGAAGGAAAAACAAAAAACTAAAAACAAACAACTTACTGGCATCACCTTTCCTTCTTCATCACAGACACACATTATCACTTCCACATTTCTCTGAGTTGTTTTATTGTATTTATCAAAATCGCCATACAGCAATGTAATATAAATGTCGTTTCTTATATCGCCTAAAAAGGAAATTGAAAGGTTAAGAATCAATGGAAGTGCTATGAGAGCACAGGGTCAACTGGACTTCACAAGAGTACCTCTTTTTCTGTAGTGAAACAAACAAAAATGTATTATTTTTCCATCTGAACTTAATTTTTCATCTCTGTTTTTCTTAGCTAAGAAGATACTACAAAGTGGTGTGGAACGAACCAGACGGGAATCCTCAAAGAGACTTGAAGCAATTCTCGTCCTGCACTGACACCTGCTGGTGAGCTAACAGATGATGCCGTTACTGAATTTTCCTCAAATACACAGCTCTCTTTCTAGAGGGAGCTTCCTATTTGAATTTTCTCTTGTGAACAAATTAATGACTTATTTTAAAAGACGTGTCGAGATTTGAATTGAAAGGGTTGGGGGAGGTGTTGCTTGTTTTTTAAAAAAGGAGCACTGCAGAGAGTGAGTGACTTGAAGTGGAAAATATCTTACCATAAATCTAAAAAAAAAAAAAAAATCAAGACATTGTAAACTCATATTTATTATTATTAGAGAACAGTGATAAGTTACAACAAAAATAATATTAATTTAAAATTCAAGTAAGCATGCATCCACCATAATCTACTTAGAATACAAGAAAGCTATGTACGAGGAGCTGGGATCGTCACTCACTGTCTTGATTTTATTTTTTCTGTTTAAGTACTGGAAAATATTTTCCAAAGATTTCACTATATTATATAAGCCTCTAATATTGGAACAAAACATACCATGAAGAGTGAATTCTAAAGAGCCTCTGAGTTACCCATTATAGAATTAAGTAAATAAGGCTGCAACTGATGCTCATTAACCTAGGGAATGAAAAAAAAAAAATCCATTCCTATTACAGAACAAAGCACCTCCTACCTGGCATGATAATTTCAGGAAATCCTAGCTTTCTAGCAACAACTGTGGTTCTGTCTACAAGATGTGGATAGTCCTTTCTAGTTTGAATCACATCTCCAACAAGCATTTTCACAGTTACCCAGAGACCTATTAAGAGAAAAAAAAAAAAGATTACATTTATGGTATGGGGGAAAAAAAAATGTCTCTCTTCAGATGGTTGCCTCTTCTACCCACCAAAACAATGATAAGAATTCACTTCCCCCACTTCCTTTAGCTGAAAGTAAAAGCTCTCTAATCTAAAATTGTAGCTACTCGTTTAAATAGCCTCCAAGATTCTGCAACAAAGTCATGATTCTTCACTTAAAGCTTCGAAGTCAACCCACCTCCATAGTGGTGCTACAGCTCTAACGTAAAAGCCTCTCGCTAAAACGTAAACAGTATAAAATCAAGTTCCACAAAAAGATCTTGTTACTCAAAAAAAAAAAGTACTTTACCTTGTCCACCACTGTCTCCTTTTGATGCAGTGACTTTGCTTAGGAGACTATGTAAGAAGTCATTCTCTGCCACAACCCTGCAGGAAAAAAAACAATGTATACTAGGAATGAAGTGCTAGATATATCAAGCACCGTTCAGAACATAGATGACAAGCAGCCTCAGTCCTCTTTTCTGTACTTGACTTTATAATGATACATTCTGTAATTTCATTATCTGTCACTCCAAGTTGCAGACCTCTCACATTAAGCTTGTGTACACTGAAGTGAAAAAGATGAAATCAACAGCTTTTGGATGGCATTTTGGGACAGACGGATGATATGAAAGGTTATAATTTTGTAGGAATGCACAATGTGAATGCATTCACCAACATGCTGGTCCAGTCCATTTTCCCTGACAAATGAAGGAACTTTATTTTTCTTTCAGCTACTTTTGAAATTGGAAACAAATTCTCACATAAAAAACGTGTTGCATCAAATTGTGAACAAGTGAAATAATAATCCAGGTTGTCATACTTGGGTCTTCCAGAATTAAGCTTGCTGTCCATAGTACATAGCAGCAGTGCTATGTAGAACGCACAAACATGTTTCCAGTGAACTGACATCTATGCATTTGATTTGCAACTATCACATTTTTAAGCAGCTAGTCTGGCATTTCTTTTGAACATAGTTAATGGGTGACAATTCAACTACCTTTTCACCAAGATCTTTACGGTCCTTTCCAACCCAAACCATTCTGTGATTCTGTAATTTTTCTCAAATTTAAAATGGAATCAAACACAAATTACTAATTGTCCATACTTGTAAAGCTTACCTGTTGTGTACATATAACTATTTAACTTGGGTTTTGTTAAATAGGACACGGTACCAGCTGTCTGAAGGAACACATTCGTACAAACATACATTAATATACCATGCTATGTACATAGAATCATAGAATGGCCTGGGCTGGAAAGGACCTCAAAGATCATCAAGTTCCAACACCCCTGCCATGGGCAGGGACACCCTCCACTAGACCAGGTTGCCTATCCAAAGAGATGTAGAAATATATATTTTTAATATGCACAAAAATATCTATGACTGTCTTACGGGTGAAAGGGAATGAAATGCTGCTTTTCTTCGTCACTTTCAGCTTTTCCTTTTATGATATCTGTAATATCCATAACTAGAAGAGTAAAAGAAAAATAATCAAAACATATAATACCATTGCAAAATATTTCCTCTTATCTATGAATAATGTGCATTAATGTTCTTGTGCATGAAGGTAAATATAGGTTTTTCACTAGCAAGCAGTGTAGCCCAATAGGGGTAGATTTGTGGGACAGATTTAGTCCACCCTACAAACAGGATGTTATATCAAGGGAGAATTACTTGAGACTAGTTTTGGTCTGATGCTGCAAATACAGGTGTCAGTGCATTGGTGGTGCTCTGGGGCCATAATTGTTGGTTTTAGTTCACCTGCAAGGAATTCTGTTGTTATACTCTGGTACTATGCTTTGGTTTGCACTTTGTAACAATAAGTATGAAGTATTGGGAAATTAAATTCAAAAGCACATTTCTGACCTGAACTAAAATGCTACTGTAGGTGCACTCTTTATGGACTTAAAAAATTACATATGCAAGATAGTTGATATAGCTATTTTGTATTCTGACACGTCTCCATAGAGATTCTACAGTCCAGGGTTGGCAAGTATCACTGGGGGCCTGCTTCAGTTACAGCATGGGAGACATTAGTTACCTGCCACTCCAAAAGGCCGCCTTAGTCCTTGTGTGTATTTCTTTGAGTTACTGTCTTTGAGATCCATCCTTCCAACTCGGACTATTTGACAAACTAAATAAATTTTGTCTCTGCTAAGGTCTTTATTTCCAAGATCCTAAGATGTAAACAAAAAAAAGAATTGAAATATTACCTGGGGAAGAACCAAGTTGTTAAATTTCAACAGGACCTCCAATAATACATTAAGCCTCTGTAATCAGTGGGAAGAAAACACTGAACTGAGCCCACAGAAAGGACGAAAACCCAGACAGTTTAAAGCTTGAAGAAAATATAAATAGAGAAAATAGTAGCTATCAAGAGGTACAGCAGATAAAAAAATATATCAAGTCATTAGTAAATTTATGAGACAGCAAATTGATCTGAAGAAAGGACATTGAAGCATTGACACTGCCCTAAAGCACTCAATGACTGGTCATCTTGCTCTGTTTCTAGGATTACTTCTGCTCCCTTCTTTATCTTGCTCAGTCTTCAGGAGTGACCACAGAGAAGAGACAAACAGCTTTGCAGGTACAAAGTAAGGTAAACTGGAAAACACTTACTGTGAACACTACTTTAAGATTGTTGAGCATATCAATTTCCTTTGGAAAGCCTCTGCTCCCCCACCGCACCAAGTAGTTCTCACTGTTTTGAAGATAAATATCTTTTTGTCATGTGATCTAAAAAATCTTCCCTTTCACAGTACATTAAAAACCACAGTAAATAACAAAGGTTGCATAACAGACAATGGTCTGTGGTGATTTTTAAATTTTAATACCAGACTAAAAAGACAAGAAGAATGCTATACAAAATACTATCAGTAAGCTTTGAAAAATGACTTGAACATTAGACAGAATGGCACCATTTTTAGAGGAAACATTACCATCATCATAGTCTGATGGAAATTCTCAACAGAATTTTAATCTATCCTTGAATTTATAAATTATTCCCATTTTGTCTCCTCCCCCCTGTTTCAGCACTTTACTCCAGACACCACAACATTCCCCATCAAGAAGCTTCTCCTAACTTTGAAGTGGTTTGAGGCTTCTCCAGAAGTCTGGGGTGTTCAGTACAGGAACTAGCTATCAAAATATTCGGGATCCCTTGCCCTAGAATTCTTTAGTAGCAGCCAACAACTAGATTTGTCCACACTTCCTTTTCCTTTTTGTTTTCTTTTGTTTATATATTCTCTGCATTACTAGCACGTTGGCAACTATTTTACTTCATTTTGGCTAGCTCCTTTTGCTACTCTTGTGCAATTTAAAAAAAAAAAAATGGCAAGCTTACCTTATAATTGTTAATTTCTGTGGGTCGTATAGTGACATAAAGAGTTCTGCATCCTCTCCAATTCGGCAAACAAAATTCCGCACAAAGACATATAGGCTGTGGGTGGGGGATGAAGCCATACGGGAATACGATGCATAATCTGGTTGATCCTTCGTCTACTCGGAAGGAAGAAAATCATTATCTAGATCCATGAATTAATATAGTGGGATACTACAAGCAGTTTCAATTTTTATCATATGTAACAGTTAATCTTGAAAAATTGTAGGGCTAAAAGTACTTGTTTCCAGTAAATAAGCATTGCCCTGTACATTCCTCTGAAAAACATTGCTTAATAACACAGACATGGCTAGCAAGTAAGTTTCTGACCCTCTGCAATGCTTCACCAGTGTATCAACGTCCTTTTCTACTATGAAACCAGAAATCCAACAGGTTAGAAGGTACAGAAGGGACATAGGTATGGAAGATCCCACCTTCCTCCCTAGAGCCTTGACTATATGCAAGGAGATAAAAAGCTCAGACTGGGTTCTTTAAAATGCTGCACCCAGACTAGGGAGCTACCTCCATATGCAAATAATGAAAAAGCTGGTCACAGAGATGCCTTAAATCAATCTTCTGCAGTACTGAGCGTACTTAACTCAGTATGAGTAAGAATTTCCTTTGGATAGGATTCTAAGGATATCATCCTTTCCAGGTAGGTGTCTCCTTTTAGAAATGGAATAGGGTGTACTTTATTTTATGAATATTTACAAGGAACACAATAGCTAAGCCGCTTCCCTTCCCTTCTCCCCCAGGAACCTTCCTTTCTTGACGATCTTGCATTTACTTACATTCAGGAATGAAAAAGCCAGGTTAAGTTTCCCTCCTGTATATGAATCTTACCACCCAAGAAAATCAGGCTGCTTTCAGTGGAACTATTCTGAAGTCCTTTACTAAAATTATAGTGAAAGACTGTGCCTAAAAGATTTGACAATGTTTTTGCTGTGCTGTAAGAACTTAAACCCCTGTAGGAGAAAGGAGCAGGGAGTTGGACTTGATGATCCTTATCCCTTCCAACCTGAGGTGTTCTATGACTTCCACATGTTAGGTCGATTCTCAGCCACTGGGCAATTATATAAAGGATGAAACATTATCACCACTTTTAAAGAGAAGACAAAGTATCAAGCTGTCACTACAGAGGCAAACCTACACAGTAGGATATAGCAGAAGGCCTACTATACACATGGTAATAGGATTTTAGTATGGTAGGAACACTAGCAAAACAAAAGACACCTCTTGGAAGAGGAGACAAATAACATATGCTGAGACCAGGACACAGCTGAACAAGTTCACTGACTCAAATATAGGCTCCTTATTTCTGCCTGCATCCCATTTTAACCACCTAGAAAGAGCTACTTAACATTTGATGGCCTAAAGCTCTTTTCATCCATTGTTTGGCTCTATTTTTAAAACAAGTCAACACAGTCTGTTGCAGACTACTGAGTTTAATTTTCCTTGAATTTTCAGCTAATTACGTTTTGATGTCTGGAAAGCAAGATTTATTTAGTGACACTGATGAGAACAACTCATAAGGTGTTTTCCAGTGATTTGTCATGGGTGTTATTGAAGTGTCAAGACAGCCCAACATTTTTTTTGTCAACTGTTTTACTTGCTTTATTACTGAGTTCTTTTCTTCATTCATGAGAAAATAAACAAGTGTCTTACAAGTCCCTGAACAGATTTAATATAGAAAAAGGCCAAGGCAGTTTAGTCACCTGCTTTGCACTTCAAAAGATTAAATTTATGCACTCGTCAGCTTTGCTTAGGCATGCTAACTTCTGGATTATGCTGAGTTCGCCTGAGTTCTTCTTTAGTGAGCTTAAAGTCTTCAACTCCATCAGACTAACTAACAAGCAGCAACATAGAGCAAAAAACTAGTCTTGTCACAAGTTCTTCTAATAAAGAGCTTTCATTACTCATAGCTTGCAGCCTGAACTCCAGATATGTAACTGTTCACTACATGAATCAGCCTACTGAGTAGCTGTATGGAATGCAGCACAATGGAATGAGCAGACGTTTTCATTTAGGAACCTAAGAATGGATTTAGAACCACCTTTAGACACAGGCTTTCAGCCCAGCCCACGGCCTGAATCCAGTGCACAAATGCAACTCACTCAGTTTGAGGCTTAGCCATATTTATAACACACAAATGTGGATCTACTCTTAGTTAAGTCAGAGGCAAAAGTTTCCACCAACTTTTATTGTAGAAGGTTCAACCCTTGGACTGGTTTTAGCAAAAAAAGCATTGTTTGGCTACTCATTCATACCATTTCCTCCTTAATTCGCTCAGTGATTTTATTAGTTGCTTCTTCATGTGCGTGAAATAGGCTGATGACACTGGTTTTATCTGGATCCAAGATATTTCCATCTTCATCTCTAACTATTAGATCTAGCTCAAGTATCCTGTGAAAATACAAAGAGCATAGTGACAGGATTATTTCCTTCTGTAAAAATAATGTTTAGAAACGTAATGCACAAGGGGCTGCTTCAAGTTTTAAAGAAATATAAGTTTAAATGCATGCAACAGTATTTCCTTCAAGAAAAATTTAACTAAACCCCAAAATTTTCAAGCTGTTGTACAGTATTTATCAGATTTACGAATTTATAGTAATATCACCAAACTATTTAAATGCCTGTGTTCAGTGACTTCAAGCAATCTTCATCTCTTTTGCTTTTTAACATATAACCTTAGTAATGAAGATGTGTAGGTTTTTCCCATACCCTGCTTTTATATTCCTCTCTTACTCTCCCAGTCCTGTTCCTTAACTAATACTATGCTCTGTTCTCCCTTTCTCACATAAACAAATCATGTCTTTTTTCCTTCCATTCTTTCTTTTCCTTTAAGTGTTCGAAACTTGAGTCTTACCTCCATACATCCTACATATATTTGCCCACAGTGTCATGGTGTCATCTCAGCCAAGAGATACCCTTTCTTGCCTATCCAGGATCTCACTATTTCATCCTCCTCTAAAATTGGTCTACTTCACACCAGACTGTACCTTTCACAATTTCTAAAATATACTTGTTGTGGCACTGCTAACATTATTTGAAGCAGGCTGTATCAGACTGCAAGCTGACTTTATCTCCTTACATGTTTATCCACAAACTCTCCTGATTTGGTGTTCAGTCTCTTCTCCCACAACGACCCACTCACTTCCATTGTCATTCCCATTTATTCCTTCTCCACAGTTTGGCAAGTTTTGTTCAAACATCACAACTCAACGACACACTTTCAGGCACTTACAAATACTATCCAACTTGCACTTTTCCTCTATATGATCCCAAACCCTGCTCCTCTAAAGGAAGCAGCTTGCTTGTCACATAATTTGGAAAGAGAAGAGCGTGAAAACAGAAGTCTAAAAGCAAAGAAACGTTAGCATTGTTTTAATCAGAGTAAGGCTGCTTTGGCTGGAGCATTTCAAAGTAAAATCTGTTTTAGAGTGACCATTCAGCTCCACATAGTTTAGCAGGATAGGCTGTTCTGTAACGGTACAATTTATCAGAAATCTGTGCATCCAAATCACAGTGAACAAGTTAGGAGTTTCATAACATCTCGTGGTCATTGTTTATGTCTAGCCACAGGTAGCTGAAGGCTTTCAGCTGCAGATGGGCCTTTAGGCCACAATAACCACAGTCACTTGCAATAGCTAAATACAGTTTATAAGCAGATTCCACTGCCTATAAAAAGGAATACTTTGTTTACCAAGCTCTCCCCTCTCCCTTTATCAGATGGTGGAACTGCACTCGACCCCATGTAACCCCATTTTTGCCAAAAATGTGTTACATTGCAGTGACATTTCACTAGCAAGAAGCAGACAAGGCATTTTGTCAAATAACTATTCTTTCCCTGGTAGTTTCACTTCTGTTACAGAACCAGAGTTCTGCCTGGGAATTCCCCAGTCAGTTGAGGTGGGGAGGGTGCAGGGAGTGTGGTGGTGGTGTAGTGCCTTTAAAAAAGTCTCTGTACATATCAGACTTTTGCTATTCATCCATCGTACTAAGGTCTCTCAGCACCACTTTCAAAGGGGTAGCATAACACTGTACTAGAGGTAGGCTGTGTTTGTGAAGGATGGACAAGTTTTTGGTGCCAAATACACTGATGTTACGTGGAGAAAAAGGCCAGATATCTGACTTCAAATCTTCACAGATGACAAGCTCATATGTCTATTATTAACAAAATAATTAATATTATGAAAACTCGATTTGCTATGAGAAGCCTCAATGTGGTGTCTACTATTATCACAGGAATAACAGGGAGAAGTTTGAGAAGGAAGTTTCAGTATGTCTACATCTCAAATTAATGAGCTACAAACCTGCAAGGAGGAAACATTTATCATCACCTCTGTTCTAGCTGGGTGCTTTAAAATAAATCATGTTTTCCAGAAGCAATGTAGGCCACTTACTTGTTACCATAGTCAATTTTGGAAGTGACTTTCTGCTTGAGTTCTTTGAGCTCATCTTTTGGCAAAGTCCCAGAGAGAAGCTGTGACCGCCACTCCATTAAGTCATACATCATAGACTGCATCTGCTGGAAACGCTCTTTCTTATTTGTCTAAGATATAAAAGAAGATAATAGGTTTCAAGCTTCGTGTTTAAGTGAAACGTTGGTCTTGACAATTAAATGATGTGTCATGTTTAATGCTAAATAATTGCAGAAGCAAGAATTGGGCAAAGTACTGAGTCTGGCTTCCTTCTTCCTCTCATCCCACGAATTGTCAAGGAGAGAATCTGCCATGTGAATCACTTATACAGTTCTGTACTGCACTGTGGGCATTACAAGCATTGCAAAAGACCACCATGACTACAGGTTGCTTGCTTACAAGGAACACAGATGCTGATGCAGTGGCCATTTTGACTAATACCTCCAAATCCATTGTACTTTTATATATTGGTAGAAGGGCTCACAAGGAAATACATTTTTCTCCAAGGTGCAAAAGAATATGCTTTCCTTTAAGAAATGTAAAATTAAGATATTGGAAGTAAAAAGACTGACTTCTGAAAATTGCCAGTTTTTAATAGCTACACACTCCCAGTAACCTGTGAACGACTTTTGTTCTAACATCCCAAGAACATGGTGAATGTTTTTCAAATGCATCTTAGTTATGTTTGATACTCCTGTCCTGAAACTTGTCAACTCTACAAAGAACAATTATGAAAAATTAATCATGTACAGGATACTCAAGGTTGAAACTAAAGGCATGAAGTTACACCACTCCTCAGTACTAAGTCTGCCTTTTAATTTAAAGCCATTGAAGAAAATGGTAATCTCTAAGCAGTGAAGTAGTAATTTCTTAAATCCTCCCAGATCCTGCCCTGCATCTAAGAAAACACACTGATTTGAACAATGCCTCAATATGCATAAATAGGACTAATTAACGGGCCACACACAGCATGCAAACATGTCATACCACATAGAGCTGTTTCCAGATGCTTCCCCATTCCCACAGCGTAGTGGTAACTTCTTGAACTAAAGGAATTTCAGCAGGTACTGTATTTTCCTTATGTCTAGGGAAGAGAAGAAAATTTAACACAATGAAAATGAAAAAGATTATCTGAGTTTCAGGGGTTTATATTATAGTTACTGTATTTAAGGCATATAAATGCCTTAAAAATCATTCCTTAGCAGACAAGATCCTTAATGCAATCAAACTGTTACATTCCATACCTTTTCTTTTCAACAGTAACTTCCTTGATATGGATGAAAGATTTAGGAAATATTCCCTGTTGAAGGAGAAGAAAAAAATACAATCCACACTTATTCTCCCAGAACAATTAAGTAACAAATGAGGGCTTTCCAAAACCCACTTCTACCACATTTTCTTCATAAAACCATGACTATAAACTGTGATCTCCAAATTAACTGCTGTCTATCTAGCTTTCTGTCCAGCAAGATGCATTTCTGTTTGACAGACAAATAAGAGAAGTTTTGTTTTCTGCAAACACAGAATACATAGGATTACATTTCTTCATAAGAAACACGATCTTCCACTCCCCTCCCCTTATCTGGTGCCCCAGAAAACAGTACGTACAGTGTAAATACAGTAAAGAAACCATTTCTCTGCGCATTAGCCCATACATTTATCATGATATGAAAAAAAAATGCAGTCTAATTTAGAGATCAGCCTGATTATCAAACCAAAGGAGAGATACTCATATAGGATCCTTGCATATAGTGAAATAAATATTAATAGGCAGAGGAACATCACTGAGGAAGAAGAGTAAAATGGTCATTGACATGAAGCACAGGAAACTCAAAGTTCACTTTGACGCATATGAGTCAGGAACACTGTGCATAAGACTAAAATTGCTTTTAAGAAAGGAGGGCCTTTCATTTGCAATGCACAAAGAAGGGAGACACTTAAGAATTTAAGCCTGATGGGAGTTTTTTGTATTCAATGTAACCTAAAGAATCCTTAGAAAAAAAAAGGAAAAAAAAAAAGAAAGACACATATAGCAGTAAATTAACTCAAAAAATTATTTCAATGTCTTCATCAGTCTGTTAACCTGAAGGCACAGTAATCTTTTTCTTCATTGATCTGCTTTTCCCAGTCCTCACTTCTAATAATTACCAGCATTGTCTAGGACAAATGCTGATCATTTTATTCATCTTGAAAAGAAAGGGAATGGAGATAGCTGGCTTCAGAGATCAGAATGACTAGCTGATAAGATATACTAAAACACCCACTTCATGGGTTGATTCCTTAAAAAAAGTCTCATAGGAATTAATGGCATGATCTTACCTCTGATCCTTTATGTCTTACTAGATAACCCTTGTACCAATCTAAAAGGAAGGAAAAGTACACTTGGTATGACAGAACATACGCATAAAAAAAGCATATAATGAAGTAAGTCATGGGTTTTGCTTCATATAAGAACTATCTAGCATAGGATGTTTAAAAATTACCAGTTGCTTCAAAAAAATACACAGATGAAAAGTAAAGTGACTATCAGGAAGCATATTTAGCATGACTTGCACATGAGCAAGTATGATTATGTGGTCTGCTTTTAAGTCTTGCATAGTAAATACAGATAATCTTACATAGTGTTTAACACCCCCACATTCACATAAAAATGGTAGAGTAAGCTGCTTTGTAATGTAATATATAACACACACTACATGGATCTCTCTCAAGCAATGGATGCTGGATGGCCCATGATACTGGATAGCCCACTGACACTCATGATACTAGATAGCCCATGAAGCTCTTCTGATTGTGTTCTAGGAGTAGTTTTACATTCAGCTTCCTTGAATGTAAGGAGAGTAAGCCATCTTTCTGCCATGAAAAGTTACAGCTTTGGAACTCAACTCATAAGCAGCTTCCTAGTGAGAACCTCAAGAAAATGAAGAGCTTTTGTAGGGCTTCAGCTCCATTTATAACTAGAAAGCCCTTCTGAAAGAAACAAAGGGCAGTATTGCAGAAGTGGCAATTAAAATACTAATTCAGACTTTGTTCCATCTATGCCCCAGTTAAGTCACAATAAATGTTTACAAACAACATAAAATGAGGAGTTCAGCCCTGCTAAATTACAGCAGAAGCCACGTCCACTGTGCACACATCCGGTCGTGAAACATTACCTCCTAGCAGTATTCAGCTCTGTTGAATATTTGTTCAATTTCACCCCAAAGCAAGCATTTTATGACTAAAATCTGTTCATTAAATTATACATGGAAAATGTACGCTATTGTCTCTTCCATAACATCTTTTCTCTCTCAGCATTTCTAACAGATCACAGGTATTTTAGCCATGCAAATGAAGCATAAAAAAACCCAAACAAACCCAAGCCCCAAACAGTACTGTAAGAAAAGCAATGTTAAAAGTCTCAGGAGAATCACTGACATCAAACAAAGACTCAGGACAATTTTTTTTTTTTCAGGTTTTTCAGCACTGGGATGGTATTTTATTTTGCAACAATGAAAGTTCCAGCTTACTTGTAAAATTGAATTACATGCACATAGTCTCCAATTTACAACCAAATGTGTAAAATCTATTTAATCCTGTTTGCTGTGACTGCACGTGTATTTTCTGTTCTTCTTTTCTGTGCATGCAAAGCAAGCTAAAATAGCACATGAGTGCAGGAAAAAAACCTGTTACTTTTGGTTAGTCTTCAGCTGCAGCTGGCAGCATATTTTTAAGATATCTGATAAGAGATGAACTTCCTCACTTGCACAACACAAGAGATTCCACCTCTTAATTGACAGACCTTTTCATAAAGCAAACTATGACATCGCGTGTTAAGTGCAGAGAAGTCAGAAAAGGCTCTTAGATAAAAAATAACCCCATAAGATAACCACTCAACTTGCTAGGCTGGGCTGACAACAAAGGTACCACAGGACCAGGAAACCTGAAATGCTGTTTCTGCAGTTAACAAAGACAATACAGGCATGAGGATGTTTCTGGTTTGCCAAAATGTTTATAATGGAGGCTTAAAGAATTACACAGACCTTTCAGTTTTAGGAGAGGACATGAATCATTACTCCTGACTTTGAGAGATGCATCTGTTGGCTAATAGTCTAATGAGTGACATCAATATTCTCACCGATACTTAGAGATACTGAATTTCTCTTACTTCTCTTACCTCTTCTTAAGAGGAAAAAAATATGCTTCTGTGCTCCAAAACATTGGAAGTACGGTCTCTCAGATGCTCTTCTCTCAAATACTTGGTTGTTTCCACACAAAACAACCTAGAGCTCTACGAAGTGGAATAGGCTGGGCTCAAACAGCTTCAGAGTCTTTACAGCTTTATGACCACAACATACAAGGTGTCTTTCCACACTAAGCTGTCTCTGTAACTGCCTAGTGCAGCAGTTGCCCTTTCTCTTTAACATAACTACAGTGAATAAGATACAACTGACAGTGCAAGTAGGTTGAAAAAGATCATTTTACAATACATTTTCCAAAGCTTGAAGCACTTCATAATTTGGGGTTTTTTTTAAACTCTACTTATTGAAAATAAATTACTATTACAATGGCATTTGCAGATACCTAACTGTTGAGTTAGTGGTAATAAAACCTTACATAGCTCTGGCAGACTTGGGAAAGAGCTCAGTAAGATTGTAGAGGTACAGATCAAACCACTATGGAGGAATACTCTATCGCTACAGTATCGACAATGAATTCAGCTTCACAAATGTACAAAATTTTATGGTCTCTTATCCTTCTGATGCTTGCATTTATTTTATGCTTATGCTAGTTGGTCAAGCATCTCCACATACCGACTACCTCAGTTTGGATCAGCATAGTGACTATCATGCTTTACTTGACTTGGACTCCTGCTGTTTAGCATGTTCAATAAGTTGGATGGTTTTCAGAAATGTTTCTATCATGCTGACCTGCTGACCTACAGACTACCTCAATACACTAGATTTCCAGCTTACAGCATAGGATAACCAGGGTGCTGAGTATCTCCTAGTAACAAATATTTTAGTTTAGAGGCAAAAATGTACTTCATTAAGACTTCAGTGAAATCTACTGTAACTCCCATCAGGTATATTACAAGCTGACATGAACTTCACAAACTCTACATTCACCTTTATGACTTCCTCATTTGATAACTGCTTCCCAAAAAACCCCACATGTACTGTAACATTTCTGGTTTTGGCTCCCCAAAAATAAACAGGTTCTTCCTCAAAATAGAACACCACCATCAACACAAATAAGAGCATTAGTTAAGTGCTTATGTAACATGGGGAATTGCTGTGAAGTAAAAGGATTAAGTTATTCACACAGAGAAACCTACAGCCTGAAGGCAACTGACTTACCTTCACAGGCCTCCAAGATATGGACCACATCACCAATCTGTAGAGGTAACTGTGGTATTCCTGTGCCTTTGAAATTGTATATAGCTGAAAAAAAGAAAGGACAAAAAATACTGTTTTCCCATACCGCCATACACTACAGTTAAACTGAAAAATAGATAGGGTTATTAAAATTCTGGTACTAGGATAAATACATTGGAATAAAAAAAAAAACCCAACACATAATTCCAGCAACAAGCTCCATCTGTTACCATTAATCTTTTCTTGTGAAAATGCAAAGGTGATGCAAATGGCCAGTGCTGAAGAGAAACAAACAAAAAAACCCAGCATATAAAAGCTATTTATAAGCTGCTCTGCATAGGATTTAAGAGCACTTATTTATATGCAGGTCTTCAATACATACATCCTGACTGTGCTGGAGAATTGTTAGTCTACTGGTTTAAGAATTTACGTGCACAGCTTACAGAAATTTATGGCGACACTGGTGAGAAGAGGTGCAGAGACGCACACGAAAACTGAATTTACTGAATTCTTTCCTGGGTTTAGATGCCTCAATTTAACATGAAACTGTGCTTCATATTGAAACAGTTGAAAGTTTCATAGTTTTCTGTATTTAATCACTCTGAAAAGAACACAGGAGCAGCAGATTTTAAGTGTTCTAATCAGAAGCTTATCTATATGTGGTTAAGAAACAGCTAAGTTTCAGAAAGAATTCAGGAAAATACGTTTCTTTACTAGTTCTTACATTGTAGGGCTACAGGATGTGGGCTGCTATGGTAAGCATTTGTTTCTGTATATTTTTTTCTTCATCAGCTTGGCTATAGACTTTTACAACAGCATTACAGGCTAGAAGTGGCTATTGAAGCTAGTATCACACAGAGAAACTGATTAAAATATGTAAGCCTGAAACCACAGTCAGTCTGTACACGTAGGAACAGTACACTAGCTACTAACCCTGACCTCTGGCGTACAGTAGGGATATCAGTCAGCTGCTTTTTCTTCCTTTTCTCATTACAGTTTACCAATCCATACACACACACACAGAGCATCCAAACTTGCAGTATTTTGGACTAGGGGAAAACCAAGACTACTTTCAGTGTATTTGCAGTTTATTCCTGTATTCGTTTTGCTCCCCACTCCAGGCTTCTAAAGCAGGATATTAATTTCTGCTAGGCAAAAAGGTATACTAATGACACGTTTTACTTCAAATTATGTTTAAAGTCTGAAATTAAATTGCCAGAGGAGAGCCACGAAGATGGTCAGAGGCTGGAGCACCTCATGTACGAGGACAGGCTCAGAGAGTTGGGGTTGTTCAGCTGGGAGAAGAGAAGGCTCCAGGGAGACCTTCCAGCAGCTTCCAGGGCTGAAAGGGGGCTACAGGAGAGATGGGGGGGCTCTTGATCGGGGAGTGTAGTGATAGGACAAGGGGTAATGGTTTCAAGCTGAAAGAGGGGAGATTTAGATGAGATATTAGGAAAAAATGTTTTCCTGTGCGGGCGGTGAGGCAGTGGCCCAGGTTGCCCAGAGAAGCTGTGGATGCCCCATCCCTGGAGGGGTTCAAGGCCAGGCTGGATGAGGCTTTGAGCAACCTGGGCTAGTGGGAGGTGTCCCTGCCCATGGCAGGGAATTCAGAACTCAATGATCTTTAAGATTCCTTCCAACCCAAACCAATCCATGATTCTATGATTCGTTATATTTCTGGAACAGAAATTAGAAGGAATTTCAGATTTAATTAAGAGGCTTATTGGACCAAAAATAAGTTATCATTTTTGTTGACATAAAAAGGCCTTCCTACCAGTTTCTCCTCCTGGTTGGGTAGAGTGGGGTTTGAATCATTAAGCATAAGTAAGAATTTAAAAAGAAAAAAAAAAAACCAAAACCCTAAACTTTAAAGTGAGGCTTTGCTGTCCAGATTCAGTCATTTATTCAAAAGAATCTCAAAGACACTTCCTCAGGGATCCTCAGAGAACTGCCTTAGCTCACCAAAGAATTGAAGTAATAGATGTGTATAGTAAACATGTAGTTACATTCTGACTAGCTTTCCTTCATTAGTCTTGACACAGATTTCAAGAAATAGGAGGGTTGCTTGCCATCTTCCAGGTTATCATGACATTTGAAGAGATGTTTGCATCAGAATGTTTGAGGGTTGTGGGTATGTGTGCTCTTACTATTTTCCTGAAATGTCCATAAAGATTAACATTAGTGCTGATTAGCATATACTTTATATTTCAAAATATGCACTGCTCTATTTATGGTTGTATTTGTCTCAAAATATAGATGCAAATTACTGAGTCATATTCACATTGCATATTGGTTTTGCTCTTTTAAAAACATAACAGCAATTAATATATAGAAAAGTACAGTGACAAACTGAAAAAGGAACTGAATGTATCAGCTACAACTTTTCTAAATTAATAAGTAGAACCTTAATGAGAGAGATTTTACATTAGAATCTGGATTGTTTGGTAGGATGAATTTAGCAAATTCCTGTACAAAGTTTTAAGCTATAGACCTGTCCAGACATTTAATGATAAATTATCTCCCATATACCACTGCAAAAATCTCTATAAACAATCCAACACCCTAATACCATCAGCTACATCCAGATGTATTATCTATAGTACCAGCCAGCTTAACTGTCACATCTGCTAATTTTTCGATTAACTGTGAATGAAAATTTGACTATTACATCCAACTGTACCTTCGGTCAGCTGTGACTGATATCATTTTCCTTACAAACTGCGACCATCTGATATTGCCAGTATCACCTCAGAGCTCACCAGCCAAGAGGGGGTTTCCCTTTACTCCACCCTGTGTTGAGATCTTTGGAGTTGTGTGGGTGCAGTTTTGTGCGCACAAACACATATTTAATTTCTTTTGCTCTCCAAAAATAGTGTATGAAAAACCTGGACTTAAAGGTGATTTGGTACTATACTCACAGCAGTTTGTGTCTTTTTAATTTATTTTTTTTTAAATAAACTCTCCAGCCAGTAGAAATAGAGGCCCCTTCAAATCACTCTGAAGAAGTTTCTACCACTCCACTCCCTGGCATCCTCTTTTCCAGCCATAAATACAAAAGGAGACAGTATTCTCAAAGCACAGAAGGTGGCCTGCTTGAAGACCTCAGCATTCATTCTAAATCCCAGTAGCAATTACTGACCTCAGGAGCCACTGATGTCATGGCAATAAGATTAGTGGGAGAGATTTAGACAGCATGTGCCCTCCCTAGCAGCCAACACCAGGCTAAGGTGTTCCATCAAGAGCATGTCTGTACACAGATGCTGTCAGGTTCTCCCAGAATGGCACAGAGGATGCCCAGGAACTCCAGCCTTAAGACAGAGTTCCTAAATACAGACTTGAGAGTTCATTGTGAATACAGTTAGCAAATTTCCCCCTGGATCAGCAAAGAATAAAAACCCTGTCTTTTTAGAGCTCACTATAAAATCCGTGGTAATTTTATAGTAGGACACACACACAGCACACAGCAAAGAAGAACCAAAATATGCAAAACACCCTTAGATTTCAGGTATTTGTTTTAGCTCCCTCAGGAAAGAAGCTGAAAGCCAGAACATCACAACAACAGTAATGCTTCAGAAAGAAAGCCTAAAAAATACCAGGCCAAGCAGCTAACATAAAAAATTTTCCAAACTCAACTCTGCTCAAGCACAAGCAGGCTTCAAATTGTACCTCAGGAAAATGGAATTGATTCCCATCATTCTCATGAAGCATGCCCAAAGAGTCCTTTCTTGTTCAGCCAAGCAATACATGCTGTAAAGACAGGTACTCTGAGCAGCTTCTGTGTCTAATTCTGCTGTCGCTCTCACACATTCAACCACACAGAGAATAACTGAAGACAGCTACCAGCGAGCATCTCAGTAGAAAAAAAATTAGTATCAAAGCTGAAGAAAATTCCTATCTTTCCCTTTAATTCCCACGTACATATTCAAGCCAGAGCTGTCCGATATGATATGCACATTCCCCCCATTAGATATGTACATGTGTATGCTGTTGAATATATGCATGGCTAAAAAGCCTGGGTTTTTTAAAGCCATATAGGTATGTGTTTTTTCTGAAGCAGAGTAATGAAAATCTGTGGAGGACATTTCTCTTGACATTCCAAGACACAAGGTAAATGGAACGGTCATTCTTAGTTCAGAGTAGGGTTCCTCTTAAAATATAAATTGAAACAACCACAAACTGAGACAGAAGCACAGTTAACAGTTTCTAATTTACATTATATGTCCTCAATTTAGAAGATGACAAGTGGAAAAAAATAAATAAAAATCATACTTTGTACCTCATTTGGGAACATTCACACACAAAACACTATAGAAAACTCACAGTAATCCAGGTAACAGAACCCCTTCCTCAAAAAGCTAGGTTTCCTCAGTATTCATGCACTTTAAAAACCCAGATTCTGGATATTCACATGATTAGACTGTAAGGCAAGATGGGAATGGTGAGCAAGGAAAACCCCACACACCTGCAACAGTGAAGCCATTGATTATCATCTCCCTACCTCTTTTCCTTCATGTGAAGTCCCTGTCCTGTTCTTCATAACAAGTATTATGTTGTTTCATTTTTGAGACTCATCTTTTAGTAATAAGCCATGTTTCAAGTTGGTTTCTTTGGCTGCTTTCCACCTTTCCACTTAAACAGAATTTGAAAAAAAAATTCTGAGGTATAGCTTTGCTGAACTAGCTCTTAATTGCACTGGATGATCTGGAATGATTTCTATGTAGTAACTCATGAAGTGTTCTGAATATTCAAACAATTTCTAATGAATAGTCTCAGCAAGAATCCTGTTCCATTTTATTTTTGAAACATGACAGCTTTACTTCTATGAGTAGTAAAAGTAGTACCTTCTTTCCTAACAGATCCATTCTTTGTGTTCAGTTAGCATTTTCTTCTCATGAAAACAGGGTGAAGTTACTCAGCAAGGACACTAACAAACCTCGCGTGAAAATATTATGCAGTCCTTACAGGATTTTCTTGACTTCTGGAAAGAAACCTATAAAATTTGTGTTCCAGTATTCTGAGTTAAGGACCTCTACCTAAGTCTCACAGAGCAAGTATGCTATAATGAACATGACATGGATGCAGTTCTCATGAATATTTCACAGGTCAGAGACATGTACCAAAGTTCAAGGTGGGTTAAATGCTAATTTGATCTTTTGCAAATCACACTCCAAGGACAACTCTTCAGTTCCCAGGTAACAAACTTATCTCGGATAACAATTGAATACAGATTTCATCACATGCTTAACCTGGGGGCCAGATGGAGGTTTTAGCTGATGCGAGCTACTTATTTTCCTTCTTAAACACAGTAAAGCCAGTATAAGAACCAGGAAGTTCTAACATACCCAACTAGTTACATGAAGATATTGTTTCTGACTCTTTAGCTTTTCATGGAAAGTAGTAGCATAGTAATTTTTCTTAGAAGACTTTATGAAGAACGCTATTTAATTGTGCTTTTTCCTTTTCATGAAAGACTGTGGATAAAGAGATTTCTTTCCCAGCTTTGGCCTCATCTTACTTCAGTTTGCGTTTTGCAGTGAGCTATACTTCACCGAACGGCTGTTGATCCCCAAGCAGCTAGTGCAGTCTGTTGGGTTCAAGGCCTGCATTTCATGAAGCAGGCAAGCTACTCTGAACAGAGCTCGGTCTCCTTTACAGCTCAGTCTACATATGCTATAGCATATTGAATTTGTAGTTACTATTACCTTAAAGTAATTATGCAAAAGCAGAAATTGAATGGTCCCTACTGAAGATGATCTTCAGGAAAAAATTACATGTATGAGTACTTACATAACTATCATTCTATTATTGTTGGAAAGTCTGATTATCGTTCTCATTTTCCCTATTCTCCTTTCAACTGACTAAACAGAAGACATTGCTACGATTGTCTTACAGCTGTAAAAATTAAGGAATTATTTCTGTGAACAGTAGGGTTCATCTCTTTTGGCTCGTTATTGGTCCTGCGCAGGCAAGGTTGTACAGTCTTTACTCTTGAGCAAGTTACTTCATGGCGAACCAGGTTGACGTTTTCTATGCGTACAAAGCAAAAGGTCATCTTTGAGAATTATCACAGTGTAAAGCAGAAGTCCTTCTGCTGCTTCACAAACTGGATCTATCACTTCCTTCACCTATTTAAATGAAAGTTATTAAAACTTTGATAAATTTGTTGTCTGCTTTTAAACACCAGCGAAGTCCCTTAAAGATACCATCAATTGCACCACTTCCTATTCGGTGCATTTGATAATCCATTCTCATCATTCATGCTCTCTGCAGATGTCTTTTAGTCAAACAGAACCTGTTTGCTTCTTTGAGCTAATTTCAACAGTAGGTCAAGTGCTAACTGGCTTTTTCTTAATTTGCAAGTGAATTTGAAAAACTTGCAAATTAAAAAAAAAAAGAGTTATTTTGCCTTCACCTTCACTCTTCCTCACACAAAACTACCACTGATGTTGTAAATGCTTATATGACAGCAAGTTAGTCTCTCAGTTAGTTCTATCCTCTAGTCCACAAGTTACAGGTCACTGCCTTGGCACCTGGAACCTTCCCAAGTGTCAGGACTCCTCATTCATGCTACATAACAGATTGCAGAGTATTCAGTGAAGTGACTAACATGAGCAATCCAAATATGTCTTTAGCACATGAGCAGTGGTAACAATCAGACTTCTTACGCTAACAGACCTTTTTTAAGAATTCTAGTCTCTCTTGTAAACCCAAATAACCAGCCTGAAGGAGACCACAGTCTTATCAGGGCGATAGGTGAGAGAAACAGCAATATTTCCAGTAGACTGCAGTTCAGAAAGCAGTACCTGTATGCAGTAGAGATTGCACGGATATCACCCTACGAGCTACACATAGTACACACTCTAAAATCGTTGTTAGAGCTGACAATACTTGAAGAGCAAGAGCAGTGGTACACTGCCAGATCAAATAAAACCTACTCCTTCCGAGTTTAAAAACTCCTCAATTTGTGTTGTCTCTATGGCAGTTTAAGCTTCACAGTATTAAAACACTGCCTTCAAATGTTATTTTCTATTATTTGCTTTCTTTCAATGCACTAAAAGTGGTCACGATGAGTGATTCACTGAAAAGCTTACTATTTTAAAATAAACATTCTTAGATCACAGGTAGAAGACTACTGCTATACAAAACTGCATGTTCTGAATATTGTATTTTAGGTCAAATATTGCAGTGAATTGTTCAATCAAAATGCATTGTAGCCTTCATGAAGACACTGGATTTTCCTTATTTTATAAAATAACACATTTCACAGGATGTTTTTTATTAGATGTAGTTTTCTGTACCTTTGAAATACCACAGAGACTTCTGTATCATACTAGCTTTTTGTATACTCGGTGATCATATTGGCTGCAAAGTTACAAACAGGCAACACTTCACTTCACTGTAAATAAAGCGTGGCAAACTGGCTGTTGAACAAATGACAGATCACAACTGAGGGCCTGTTCAGTGGACATGCATTGGTCAAACCCAGTAGGTTGGTCCACTGCAGGGATATGTGCAAAAAAATCACTAGCCTATGTCACATTTAGCATCAAGTCCGGTTACTTGGCCCTCATAATGTTAAAAACTCTAGTGGAAGGGCAACAAGCCTTTTCTGTAATTGCATGAAGCTCACCCTGACCCAAAATGCTCCCTGTAAAAAGCTGCTACAAGTGAAGCTTGTTTGTATTATTCCTGTGAATAACTGATTAGCATCTAGTACTTTTATCCATATGTGAGATAACATCCATCGCTAGTATAGGGATACAGAGACCACATCCAATAAATCCAGTCCTGTTCTCCCAAATCAATAGCTTTCAGAAAAACAAATGCAAAAATTAAGTACTCTCTACTGTTTGTAAAACTGAGACAGAAAATATTTACACCCTTTATTTTGTAACATGAACTGCCACCAGAACAGGCTACTTCCATTTCACAATTCTGCCACTGCTGCACATGGAAGTTGAACAGCAAGACATTCTTTTCCTCTCGTTAAATCCTTGATGATTCATTTTATTTCATTAAGCCAGTTGGGTGGGGTTTTTTGTTTTTAATGCATATTACAAAGTATTATGGCTGCCTTAAACGAAAAAATGTCTTTTAGAAGAATTTGAAGATTCCAGATTAATAACAATGCACTAGTAGCTAAAATAAAATTTATATACAAGATTAACTGTCTTCTCTACTGAGAACCTACAGTTAACTTCAGCAGCACATTTTTTTCAAGTGCTTCAGCTTTGAATCCTAATTTTAAGGCTTTTTTTTTTAAACAGCAGTTCAGTCCTTTACCAAGTTAACATCATTCATTTTAAGAAAAATTGATGCTGGACAATGACTTTCCTTACAAAAATTATTACTTACCAACTCATACACGGGTTTTTCTGTAACACTAACCTCAAGTGACAGTCTCTCAGAAGCAAATGCAGGATTCCCCTTCCCCTATGTTTGTTCCCCATAACCTCTAGACACTACTTACTATACACCAATACACTATACTTACTTATTCCATCTGTTTCTAAAATATTGAGGTGGAAAAAGCTGCATTACTGTGAGAGTTCAAGATTTGAGAGGGGTGTGTGTGTGGTGGGGTGGAAGGGTTACATCTCCCAAATGACACTTCTTGTCATTCTGTTTGAAACATTAAAACTTTGTACTAAATCGATCATTTCCATTAAGCCACCATGGTAAAGCAGAGGGTGTTAGCTCATCACACTAGAGAAAACACCTGCCCACATCCTGTTCAGAAGTGATGAAGACAAAACTCAAATGGCAGTTTACTGAGTTACATACCCACGCCACTCTTCTTGTCCGTCTTGTGCCATCTCGCCATCATACATGAATCCGTGAGGCTCCAAAGGATGCCCACCGCCAAGGAACCCGAAATTTATAGGATGTAGACTCGAAGATGGATAATCAACAGAGGCACTGGAAGCAAGATCTGTTTCCCAGCTGCTGTCACTGAGGTCTAGCGGGCAGGCTGAGGCAGCTGCGAGGGTTCTACGAGATTTGCTGTTCTTCTGAGCTCTGAGCTTCCTTCCTCTTTTCTCAACTCAAGATATTGTACCCCAGTGTCATGGGGGAGGGGAATCCCAAACTGGGTGTTTCTGCTGCGTGATACTGGCTGTAACACGTGAGCAGGCGAAAAGGAGAAAATCCACTGCAGTCCCCTCCTGCACCACCCCTCAACTTCAGATCTAAGCTGGAAGGCTACTGTGTGCAAAGCCCAGCTACAGTAACAATATCTAAAGGTGGGTTAGCTCAGTTCTGAAGTGCCAAGTGGGCCTTACCTCTTAAAGGACACCAAAATCAAATCTTAAAGATTTGACTCCACAGGACACCACATCTTAAAGCTGTTTTCTTCTAACCTGTCCTGGAATGGGGGTTTGTTTTCATAACAGACTACCCACATAAGAGAAATGAAGCAAAGACAAAGCCAGAACATTTCCAACTGCACCCTTTCCTTTTTCTGTCATTTTAACTTTGGTGGGAAAATGCAGGAGAGGTTCTCTTAATTCTCTAAAGAAAACAGCACTTAAAGACCTACTCTCAAGACTAAACTTAAAAAGTAATTTATTGTGTATTTACAGCCTTTACTTTCACAGAGGCTGCTGTCTGAGCTAAGTTACACAATGACATTTTGGATGTGCGAAGGCCAAGCCAAGTTTGTAATTTGGATTAAAGACAATTTACCAAACTGAAGACAAGTAGGAGCAACTCAGGTTATCTCCATCTACAGACAATCAGCTTCATCTGAGAGTTCTAAGTCTATCTATGGAACATCCAATTTATATTTATCTATCAAAAAAAGATTTTGAAGATCAACTATTTAATCTTTTCGTTTACTATGTATTTTGAATACCAACTTCCTAACCAGTGATAACTATCTTCCTTACTCCTCTGAATCCCTGCTGCAGTAAGTCACCTCTTCCCATACACTGTTTGGCCTAAAGGTCACGACTTGCATTTATTTTCTTGTTCTGCGTTTCTCTTCCTCATTATGTTTCCCTGGAATACAAATCCTAAGGAAAACCTTTTCTTTCTAGCACTCATTTAAAAACATGCTTTATCATGTAGATCTAATAAACCAAATAAACACAATACTACTGTATTTTGAAAAGAAATTATCTAAGGAAGTGATAATGCAGAAATTTCACCTCCAAATTGGGATCCAATGTGCAATACTTTTCTGATGCCCTGAATCTCTTCCATCTCAAAGATTTGATTTGGCAAAGAGTACAAGATGCCTAAATACCACCAGACATTTGGACACAGCTCTGTTCCCACCTCGGAGCTCATGCCCCGCCTCTTACCATTCCGACTCACCACAAACACCCTGACTGGAGAACCCAAGCTTCTGCAGCCGTTGCAGCTCCCCCCTGCTAACCCCTTCCCCCACACCCCGCTCTCAGCATTGCACACACACATCTGCGGCTGCTTCCTCCTGGCACACTTTCACGATGATGCTTTTGCAACTCATTAGCTCCTAGCACCTCCTACCACTTTCCCCATAACTTAGCCAAGACAATCTCCTCGTCTGACTGTGTCTGAAAAAGTCCTGGCTACAACTTCTAACAAAGAGATTGAGCAACAAAATATTTTTTTTCAGCTTTAAGAGAAAAATGCATCCATAGAGTAAAGCATGCATGGTAACCCTAAAAGCCTATGTTCCTACAGCATAGGACAAACCCCAACAAAGATGGGGTTACACTTTTTGTCAGTGGAGGTTTTGATTCCAAGTTATTTATTGGTTAGTGTAATTACCCTTCCACATTACTATTCCACGGAAAATAGTGCACTCAGTCATTCGTCAACCTCATGTACCTTACTATCTTTTCCTTATGTCTTCTTCCAGGCAGAAAGTATTTACAGGCAAATAGAAAATTCCTTACTTCCCCAAAAGATTGAAATCTTTATGAGTAGGGGATTCACAGGCAGAACTTACCTTTGGGGGGCTGGGGGACAGACAGAGGAAGAAGGCAGAGAGTTCTTGCTTCCTTTAACACTGCTATCAATTTGAGAAAACAAGACCTTGTAAAATGCTGACTAATTACTAATTTTTAGCTATGCTGATTTCTATTATATGGAAGAATTTAAGCAGAATACAGCAGCTGCATTTCATTTGCTCTAAATTCTATTATATGCCCAGATCTGGGAGCACAGTTGCAGGAAAGCAACTGATGCAACAAAACAGAAAGAAAAAAATAAAATATGCAAAGTATTTTCATGCATTTAAAGGATAGTACCTTGAGTATGTTATGGCACAACAAAAGCTTCAATTCCAGACATCTTCCCCCACCTGCTAGTTGTAGTTCTGCACAAGATCGGTAAGCAGGCACGTATTACCTACGATGGGAAAGACTACATGCTCACGGTGAACTCCAGCCGTACAGGTAAAGCAGTAGTTTTGGGGGGTAACCAGGTAACCCTAATCAGTTTTATTCATTTGTTGAAATAATGTCCTTGTTTTGTTTGTGGCATTAATTAACAATAGTTATTTCAATTAAAAAAAAAATCTAGAAATTTCACATATCAGGTAGCTCACCATATAATTAACTGTCTTAGGAGGACAATCTACAGTTTACTGCTCCCATCTAAAGTACATGCATCCAGTGTCAAGTTACTGAAGGTTTTCCTCTGGTTAAAACAATTATTACTTCAGTTGTTTTATACTATTTGTATCTCAGTGTACAGTGACAGTAAACAAAGATAACTTTCACCATTTGCATTAAAAAGGTTGTCTTCTAACATTTTGTAGCATGAAAAGCATGATTTCTTCAATGCCATATTATTTAAGTTCATGTGCACAGTCAAAGTCAATTAGAGTAAGAACTATTTAATGGATATACACTGGCTTCCTGTAATATCATGGAATATCTTAACAAAAGTTAACAAGAAATATTATATTCTCAGTTAATGTAGACTACATCAGTAAAAGCCTGAAGGGTTTGGATAGGCAGTAAATATCTTAGACTGATGATGTGATACAATTAGATTCTATAAGACATGGATTTATGATTTTTTTGTTTAACACTACCTGTAACAGCCACCAGGCTGTGCCTAAATTTAACTATGTAGAAATGGATTGATAGCACGTTCAAATTGCATTGTCAAGTGACAAGCCACATCTAGTCATTTACATTTACTTTACCACACCTCTAGTCACTTCTGTCATCACTCAATGTTACAGTTGACTATTTGTTGAATGTCTGACTACCTGAAGCCACCCATGTGCAGAGTCACAGTTCAAAAAATTCTAGGCATGACTTCTGAACTAGGACAACTAAACAAGGATATCCAAAGGTCCTGGATGTGGGGCGAGGCAATCC